AAAAAGCAGTATTAAGACAATTACGTATGGACATATATATATATATATACACATCATATGCAGTCTTGAGTTCTTTTTTGGGTGGCGGTCCTTCTATGGACGAAATGGAGGGTCCAGAGAAAAACCAGTCATCCATCTTTCTCTTCCTCGCGCACATTTGTCACATATCTAGCATGCGGTTGGTATGCTGTGGAGGGCAATCTTGCGGATGGTTGGGTATGGTTGGATCAACATGGGTCCAACCTTCTCTTTCGTGAGCTCTGCATGATAGCTTCTATATTTCCTGGGACCAGATCCTGGGAGATAGTCCAGATATATTGACCTCAGGTGGTTCCACATCCCTCGTTCCCTCGGTGCCGGGGGCTGGGACGCTGGGATGCTGGCACGGCGAGGTCCAGCGAGCCTCGCGCAAGACGGGCATGGCCGTGGTCTCAGGGATGTTGCGATCGAAGAGGGGTTCGTGCAGACAAAAGGACTTCAGTTTCCTGAGTGAATTGGAAAAGCCTTCAGTTTCCTTAAGTGGCTTGTGATGGGGCTCAAAAGAGCCCCATCATTAACGAACTCAAAGATCTAGGAGGTTGACTCACGTTCGAAAGAGCCGTTTGAAGAGGTGTGTCACATTTCTTTGGCATGGGTGCTCTGTTGTCGCTTGTTCCTCAGCCCAGGACTCGGCAGCCCAGTAGTGGGCCCACTGTAGATTCTTCCCGAAAAGAAGGGAGTTTCCTCTGAGGTACAGGTTCGTGCCCACATCTTCCTGCAGAGTGTCAATGTGATCCGAAACATGGACTACTTGGCACGCTGCATCAAGACCGAGGTGCTCGAGACTGGAGAACGGCCACTTAAGGGAACACAAACTATGCTGATCTTGCTTGTGTGTCTTTCGGTGTGTCTCGGAAACTCTCGTGTCACAACCGGTTAAAACTTGAACAAACACACTAAGGAAAACTCGTCGTGTCCCTCCCGGGTAACTGCACCTCCGTCTTCGCAGAAGACAGGTGCAGCGCTTATCCTCGGAGTCGAAGGCGCGGAAGGCACAGCTTCCCAGACGCCTGGCGGCCAGTGGGCTGCAACTGCTGCCGACCCGGCCGATTAAAGTGACGAGACCGGGATCGCCCCAAAAGGATGTGGAAGAGAAGGCACGGAGGACTGGTTTGGATCGCCCCAAAAAGACACGCGGGTGTTAATCAATTCAGGGTTACAGGATAGGCATGCGTTCCCATGACGTGTGACAGATTTTTGTCCGCCAAACATCCCCCAAGTAAAGTTACACTTCTTTGTCTAGTTCGCAGACCATGACCACTAATCACGAATCACGATCAACTCAAAGTTCTCCTTGTGAGTCCTCCCTGGTTGGATCACAAAAGGTAGCCTCAATTGGAATGCGACCCATGCTTTTCGCCGTGAATCTTGTGCCTTATTACAGTAAGAATGGAGTTTAACATGTCCGCTGTCCCACACCGCCCGAGCCCTCCGATCTACTGCCTTCGTGGTCCGTTCGTTCTCGTCCCTTTTCCCGCGTCCTCGTCAACTTTCGTCCACCTCGGGATTCAGTCGCAGGTGGACTGGAATTTCCAGTGTCCTGGGGGATTCTCTCTTTACATTTGGGTTTGCCAATTCGCCTCACCGAGCATGCCAGGCTCGCTCTCCTCCCACACAGCTCCCCCCTGTGGCAAGAAGAGGCCCTTCAAGGCTGATGGGGAGTGGAGGAGTGAGTACAGTTGAGTAGAGTTTAGGAACCTGAGGTTGTCCACACACCGCGGCTGATCATGGCAGGAACCGAGTCTTCATATCTTCAGCCCTCAGTTTCAAGGCCAACATCCATGCCACGAGCCCTCTCAGGGGAGCCCTGCCACGAGCTGGCCTCGGTGATCTTCGCCCGCCGCGCCCTGCGCGGCGTGGCACACGAGGGCGGTCCTGCGGCGCTGCTCTCGCGGAGCTATGAGGACTCCAGGAAGCGGCTCTGGCTGTGTCCTGGAGAGGACATGGAGAGAAGGATGGTGGCTCAGGGTGGAAAGACACTTGGTACATCTTCTACCATCTTCTACCTTCTAGCTTTTCGACTACATTGAATTGTCAATTGTTGCAATGGTTTCGACGTTTGCGGGTTGAAGCTTGGGGATCACTGTTGATCTCTTTGCTTCCGATCACTGTTGATCCTCAAGATCATTGTGGGTTGATCTCTTTTCTGTTTCGCCTCATGGTTGTTCCTGCGCTGGTTGCCATCCAAGACAAGTCTCTAACGGGGGCAAATCATGGGTATCTGGTCTCACCATTGTGCTGTTGAGCCATGAGGTTATTTACGGATCACAACCCAGAAGGTTCAACATACAGCCGTCTGTATTTGTCAATCCCATGTGATGGTTTGGACATGAATAGAACAGGCTGTTTCCAAGAAATCTCTCATTGGATTCCCACACAAGAATGGTATCTCATATCAGATAGTTTCTATCTATATCCCCGGCAGTCACCATCCAACTTCCCAGCCCGCTGCACGCTGCACTGAGCCGCGGAGCTCGGAGCCTGAGGCTCTTCCGGATGGTGCACCTGAGTTCAGCCATCCCAACGGAAGTCTTTGACCTCAGCGAAAAGGAAGATGGGTGGTTCTGTACTCTGCCACAATTTACGTTCATGAATTCGCAATTTGGGTGAAGTTTTGATCGTTTTGAGTTTTGCATTTTGATAGATCAGATATATAGAAGGGACAGAAAATGTCCTTTGGGGCTTTGAATTGAATGTCTGGGACCTCTGGGACCTCTGGGACTCCAAGGTCCAAGGCAAGTTGTCGGCCTTGATGGACAGCTACCTACGACCAGTCCTGGTGCGCTTTTTTTTCCGCTCCCTCCGTACCGCGAGCGATGCCGTATACTTCAGGGACCTTGAGCAACGCCGATCTCGAAGCTGAGAGAATCCGTTAGTTTTGAGAGCCTTGGGCTCAAACATGAATCTTGATTGTGCCCAGCCAAAAGTGTTAGTGTAGGGAATGTGATCAGGACTTGTTCGCAGTGTTCAGATTCCTCTGGCCGCACTGCCGCACCACCTTTGGGCTTCCTGGCTTGGTGGACGGTGCTTCTAGGCAGAGAAAAAGCAAGGCTGATGGACTTGTGATTGGCTCAGACACGTCAAAGAGACGCCTTCTCTAGAGGTGTTCCTCCATCCCGCAGGGATGTTGGGCCTGCCACAGCACGTCGCGCAGGTGGAGAGACGGCTGCCCACGGGCTACTGCCAAGCTCTAGATCGGGGACTCAACACTCAGGCAGCAAGTCCGTGCCTTGCAGTGGAACTGGTGGTGCGAATCGTACAGGATCATGATATGAGTGTTAAGGCCTTGTAGATCGTTTGGATGTGTCTGTGATATGCTGTACCTGCTACTGTTCTCAGGGATTCGCTGGATTCACTGGGATGTTCCGCATTTGGAGGCCATGCTGGAGGATGAAGAGCCAGAGCAAGAAACAGGCCGGGTGGCAAGGGCTTAGTGGGCGCATCCTGTTGGTGAACTCCAGGACCACTGACATGCGAAATGGGTGTAGTTCGAGCTAAGATTACAGTATCATATATATATATATATATACAAGTACGTTGGGAATCAACGAATGGGGCAGATCGATGGAATTTCATTGTTTCATAGACATGGAAAACCATCACAGCAAGCTCCGTGATCATCAGCACCATGCACTCTTGGCGGCGATGGGTGTACCCAAAGTAGAACATGGGATCATAGAAAAACTCTGCCGAGCTGCATGGGGTGATGGTTGGTGCCTTCAAGGATGTTTTTGGACCATGATGCTTGTTTGCTGTCCCGCCTTGAAACATCAAGCACAACCCTCGTCAGTTCCCAGAGCTGCGGCATCGCTGAAGTTGATTGAACGCAGCAGTCGTGCCATCTTCACGATTCTGGCCATCCATTGCAAACTGCATATAGATAGCTGTTCCCGCTGTTCCTTCTGAAACCACACACCTCCTGACTCCTGAAACCGCAGGGGTGCTTTCCATGGCAGCAGCCATGAGTTATAGTATATTATAGTCTGTTCAAGTGACTTCTTTTCTTCTCAAACCTACGTTGCCGTCGGGATTTCCCGACACCTGTGTGCTGCGAGGAGGAACCGCTGCAGCGAGCAGTGATGCACTCAGCGGGTATCGTGTTCCTTGGGTGGAGTTCCTTGAGAGGTTCATTTGTTCAGTAAGACTTATATATATATATAGTAGATCATTGATGACTTCTCCAACATCATGGGACCAGAAGTTTTCAAAGACCTGAGGTGGATCTGCCAATCCCTTGTAACCCCTGCTGCCGATGTGCCGGCCGCCCTCAGGTGCTAGAGTTCCACCTCGAGAAAGAAGCAAAGAGGCCCAGCTCTGGGGCTAAGTAAGTTAGGCTAAGGGTCTTTTTCTGGTGGGATGGCATCCCCCTAGCTTCTTGTTACTAGCTCCATGCATTTGCGAGAATTCCCGGAGTGGACCGGTGTCTGACTCGAGTGCTTGGGGGGTGTCAAGTCCTGTGGACCCGCCAGGGAAGTCCCAAGGCCCGAGGCGCGTTCGGAGCGGGAGATGAGGGAGAGGGGTTCTGTTGGCTTTTCGCTCTCCCGGATGGATTCCGCATCTGAGCTGAAGGGGCGTTTTTCCTACACTCGGAAGAGCAGAGGCGCTTGATTCCACGGGGAGCCCCAAAGTATCCCAAAGCTACGTAATGAAGAATCATGAAGGCAAACATGCCATGCCATGTTTTGTGGGGAACACATGGTTTGGAACAACAACAACAACAACAACAACCACAACCACAACCACAACCAACAACCAACAACCAACAACCAACAACCAACAACCAACAAC